GTTCTTCCTGTGTCAATTTATATAAAAATATCGAATGACTTAAATTTCTCCAGAGATAATTCATCATCATGCTTAACTGACTATGCCATGACTAAAATGACACAATGCTTCCCCTATTTATAGAATAACTTGCAGAGGGCAGTACCACTAACTCAGCCACCACTAAACCAGACACTAAACCCAATTCTGAAAGTAAAACCTATGAATGATTCAGAAGCATCAGAGTTTGGTGTGAAAGATGTTCCTCTGAAATACACACACACACAATGGCTTTCATAGCAGATTGGTTAGGAAGTGCTGCTTATCAAAGTTACCAGTTCTTATCTTGGGAGACTTCAGTCATAGTAAAGCCATAACCTCATCCTCAGGCTTTTGCTCTTTCTTTTTTGTTTTTTTTTTTTAAGCTACACACACGGTATTTTTTTTTTTTCTAAGAGATGTATGTAGTTAAAATACCTAAATTTAGTATAGAAAACTTCACATCTGAGAAGCAGTTTTAATAAAGTGCCTGCAGTGAAAGCCCAGCAAGTCTCCTATTCAACCATGAGCCACGATGAAGCCGATGGGATTTGGTCCACTCCCACACTGACAGACCTTGTTTGCTTTAGCTTCCTAAAAGTTTTTAAACAAAATTCCTTCTTCAATCACTTTCAAGGGAGCACATACAAACTAGTTCCACCCATCAAGGGCTATGGGAAAGCAGCTCAGCATCCCTAGGCACCAGGCCAGGGAGGGAAGAAAACACTTAGTAAGTCCATCATCTCTGTGACGAAGTGGCCAAGAAGCAATAAAAATGGGCAAAGAATTTATATCTTCCAGCATTCAAAATACAATAGAGAGTCAGTCCACAGGTTAAAGTATATTCATTGTGCCTTCAGGCAAATCAACAGGTGATATAAAGATCAGGATCGTGTTATTTTTCAAAATTAAGACAGAAATTTGGGACTTGGCTTAAACAGGAAAAGACCTGGAATGTTCATATTTCCACGCTGCAGCAAACTGACCTGCTGAGTGGATCAAAACTCCCTTAGAAATTCTAAAAGGTGGGAACATGTATGTTCAAGGTGTGTGTTTTGCTTTTGAAATCAAATTCCAGATTTATCCACTGAACTGACGCGGAAAAACAGCCTAAAAACAAAAAGCGTGAAGGTTGGTGGGCTTAAATTCAAAATATATTTGTTGTGTAATATCAGGAACTACTAATAATAGAACAAGTAAATAATAATAAACCAAGAAAAATGAATGTGAAGGAAAAAAATTTAGGAAAGTAGCAGCAATTTTGAAAATACTCCCCAAGAGAGAAGGGTTTGATATCTGACAGTTACATCAACAGTGCAGAGCTGGACATCAGCACTCACAGCCAGTCCCCTCCAAAACACACCTCGGCTGGAGGTGAGTAACAGCATTTTTAGATACTTCCACTTGATTTTAAAGTGACACAGTTGCAAGGGAAGTAACTGGAAACATAAAAGCATCTAAGGTTTCGCTACTTCATTTTCTGACGTGCCTGGTCCCTCACGCTCAGCCCCTGGGGTGTGATGAGCACAGCAACAGCAACTCCCAGTTCTTTTGGGGATCCTGGATTATTGACACAGGGACACAATGAGGATCATGGTGCTGCTGGTGGCACCAAAATCAATATGACAACGCCCCCCAATCCTCTACCTACAGCCCAGCAGCTCTCTCGGCTGAGAGCTGGCACATCCTCCCACCACAAACACCACTTTTACTGGCCTAAGCACAGGGGGAAGAGTGAGTTACTCCAATACTGGATTGACTCTTTCTGCAAATTCTTATTAAAATATCTGATAGACTGTGCCATTAACAGTTTATCACTGAATAATATCAATGGATATGCTAATTATCAGCCTGACTGTACTAATGGTTTCAGTTTATCCCAGCAAGAGTTGAATAATTGACATATCATTCTAATTAACGTTGGTATTGAAGATTTAGTGTTGTATGGTACTGTAGTTCCTTCACTGAAGCATTTTCCAAATATGAGTAAGGGAATTATACTAAAGCCTGAGCATTCTGAGAGGGAAAAGCTATGCCAAAACATGTTGTCTGGTAACCTTATTTTCAAAGATGGTAAGCACCCAGATCCAAACTCAACCCAGGGAGGCTGAGAGGTTTGAATTTTGAGTCTGATATTCAAAACAAAAATATTTTGAAAAATAAGACATTTCTGTTCTGGTCAAGCCATTCAGACAACACATATAAATTAAATGTCCCCAAAAAGCCCCTGGACCAGGCTCAGTAAGCAGCACGCCCCCACTTGCAACACAGGTCAACATCAGGAGCTCACAGTTCACAAAGCTCCACCAGCACCAAGGACTCTGCACTTGGCCTCTCTGTGATTCTTATCATATAGAAACTGTTACCCCACACAACGGAGTAGAGGGTTATTAAGGTCTACACTAATCCAAAGTACAAACCCAGGGCAGCACATGACATCCATTCTTTTCCTGTTTCTTTGCACTATTCCTTCCCCTATTCTTGGGCCCATTTTCCATCCAGTAGAGGCTCCGAAATAGAAGACACATTCTATATTATAGTCCTCTCATGTTGTTCCATATATATTATTTCTACTACAGTAGAAATTTTAGTTCTTTTATATTTGCTTTCCACAAAACAAATCCTAGCTGATATGTCTTGTGCAAGTAAAGAATGCATAAGGTATTTATAATCAACATAAGTAATTACGAAAAGCCATTCTTTTTCCTTAGGGGAACATATTAATCCAGTTCTATTTTGTCACATGTAATCTTAAATCAGAGGTTACACTACTCCTTTAAGCAATAAATGCAGTGCAGACAACTAAAAATATTAAATAATTCATTTCTTCAATTCTCTCCACATTAAAACAGAACAGAGTTTCAAGGCACACTTTTGGCAAGTTACTTACAAATAAAACCAAACTGGTCCTATTACACCCAAAGGAGGATGGGGAGAGGAGCCATTTTAGGAGCTATAATTCCTTAGTGTAGAAACACAGCAACCACTTTCAGAACTCATCCAACTTGCAGCCAGTTCCTCCTGCCACGTGTCTTATTTACAGCATCCTCATCTCCCCACAGCAGGAGAAAGACATCAAACCATACCTCCTACAAGACAGACTTCACCAACCCATCAAATCACTAAATTTACTCGCACCTTTTTCGCCTTCTTTTTAAACGACAACAACAAAAATCTACCCAACTTGCATCTTCTAATGTACTACTAAGACACAACCACCTTCCCTGGCCAAGAGGCAGCAAACATTTGTGCACTGCACATCTGTGGTCAGACAGCCTGCAAGAGCCAGGAAGAAATTTTGTTGGAAGTTGTTCTGCAGCTCTCAGAAGAACAGGCTAAAGAACAATAAACAATGGTTATTCACCAGAAAGTACACGAGAACAACCCATACAACGCTGACCTTACAAGCATGACAGCAAAGAAATCCACCTTCCCCTCAGTGCTCTCAAAGGCCAGCAAGCAATCGCTGACCTTAATGCAGGGGAAAACCCACAGTCTAAGCACCTTCACCATTAAAACTTTTAAAAGGCAGCCTGAAATCCTGAAATCCCTGAGGATAAGCACTTTCTCGTGTAACTCAACCAAAAAAAAAAAAAAAAAGCGCCCACATAATTCCCTAGACATGCATAATTAAGAATACATCATTGCCCTTTTCTAGCAGAGTGCTTTCCCAGGGAAACTCAACTGTTCTCTAGAAAAGGAGAGCTCTGGCCTAGTCCCAGGCTGGGGAAGCACCAATCCTTCAGGATTCTGCACATCCCTCCAGTTCTCCTGTATCTACATTATGCCCAGCCTCAACTCAGATTTCTTGCTTCCCCACCCCTTCCCATACATCCCACACACTAAACACTGTCCCTTCCATCCCACCTTCCAAGCTAATCAATACCTACAGTATTTTTTTTTTAATATGCACACAGTTCCATAACCTACTCCACTGTAAAACCCGTCTGTAATTCCTCCCAAACCAGCCAGAAATAACCCTCCCACGACAACAACCAGGGAAAGCTTAGCTTCCTTCTGCACAGGTAGAGATACCACCTTGAGAGGAGACGTGTCATTTTTCTTTGTCTTTTCCAGCACAGGGACGAACTGTCCACGCCGAGCACCGTCTGAACCCTCCCGAGGTGGGTTCAGGGCACACCCCACCACCACCTGCCGCGGCCGAACCAATGACCGAGTCCCACCGGGCGGATTATCCCTGGATACATCTCCCCGGCGGGGCGGGGAGGCCTCTTTCCCCCCGCACACCGCGCCTGGGCTCCCCTTCCCCGGCAGCACCGCGCTCCACAATTACAGCCCCAAAAACCACCCGCGGCCGAGCTCCCCGGACCTCTCCCCGCTCCCGGCCGGCCAGGCCGCCTCCCCCGCCCCGCGGCCGGCGCGGCTCCCCAGGCGAGCCCGGTGCTGCGCAGGCCTCGCCGCCCCCCGCGGTACCGTCGGCCGGGGCGCTGGGGCCCGGCTGGGCCATGGCTGGGCTGGGCTGGGCTGGGCTGGGCCGGGCCGGGCCGGGCTGGGCGGGCGCCGCCGCCGCGGCCTCCTCCGGGCGGGGACCGCTACGCCACGGGCAGGGAGACGGGAGCGGCCGGGCCGGGCCGCCGCCTCCTCCGCCTCATCGTGACAGCAGCGGCTGCCGGCGGCGGGAGGGGAGGAGAGACGGGCGGGAGGAGCGGGAGGAGGAGGAGGAGGAAAGAAGCAGCAGCAGCAGGAGGAGGAGGAGGAGCCCGGCGCAGGCGCCCGGGATGAGGGACGGGAACGAC